AAAGTCGTGCAGGAACTACTTTCAAGTCACTGCGGCTTGAAGTCGCACAGATACGAATGGTACTCATTGGAAAACATGGGGTGCGACTTGTTATGCGACTTTGGACCCCAAAGTTGCATGACAAGTCGCACAAGGCTTGCTTTCTTCTATTTTTCATCTGGTGATCTGGCCAATAAGTCTTGTTTTTCAAAAGAACAACCTCTTCAGCAGAACATATCAGTTACAGGGGTGAGATAAAACCATTTAACACTAGCAGGAGTACTTAAATTATCAGCTTTTATTTATGTAAAATCAAAAGTAAAAAAAAAAACCAAAAAACTGTTTTACTGTAACCGCTTATGAACTATTAGCTGGAGTTTGGCTCCAATTTGTTAGTGTAACTGCTAGTCCTTCTAACACCCCCCTCCACCCCAGAATGACAATGCTGCTGTCCAAATGTCCCTCCTGTGCTCATTCATCCACAGTGGGGTACTCTAATACAGGAGGTGTTACTGGCCAGATCATCCTGTAAAAACAGAGGGGGAAAAAAGCCTTAAAGAGAAAATGAATGCAGCCACCACATCTAATGATTGGTAAACTGCAATAGATTACTTTTTGGGATTTAATACAGCTGATCCCAAGGTTTGAATGCTATTGGTTGCATATATGGAAAAGTATGCAGTTCTCATTTCACTGTGAATTTGCTGGGTGAATGCAGTATTTCTGAAGCATTGAAGCCAGAGTCTTTCAGTAGCAGGTCAGTTGATCTTAATACAGGTTTCCTTTTAAAGTGTTAAACCCAAAAACCATAAAGAAAACAATTATTATGTATTGCAGCATGCAAATCCTTAAATGTGACGGCTGCTTAGTTTTATTAGACTTTTTACATTTTACGTTTCAACTGGTGATCTGCTCAGTAACACACTTTCACTGGAGGAGCAACCTTTGGACAGAAGCTTTGTCATACAACTCCATTTATATTTGCAGCACGATGCCAGAATGAATAACTTTTGCGCATGATCGGAGTGACCCCATCCTGTGCAGGCCAGTCAGGGTGACCGTTACATGGATGAAGCCGGGGAGAAGTATTCCTGTCTTTAATTCCACTTTAACTGGCTTGTCTCAACTCCTGAACTTCTGCTTTGCTGCACAGCTTGTTCCGTTAAAGTTTAAAAATACCAGACTTACTGGCCTGGATCACCAGGTGAAAATAAAGGAATACAAGCCTGAAAAAAGAAAACAAATGCAGTCACCACATCTAAGAATTGGTATGCTGCAAAACAATATATACTTTTTTGGTGATTTAAAGTGTTATTAAACCCACAACAGTAAAATCCATCTGTTTATACAGTAAAGCATGCTTGTTATACTCACTGTAGAACCCAAGAGGTAATCCTCTGCATTGTGTATAAAGGCTGTTTGATCCTGACTTCTGTGATCATCCCCTTCTTCCAGTGTTCCCCTCTTATCTCTTGATTGGACATATCGTGTGGAGACTCTCTGCACATGCTCAGTTTGGTGTGTATTGCTAGATACTTTTTTTTTTATCTTGGAAGAGTGCATGTGATCAGCACAAGACCAATCAGAAGTTTCCAGACAGAGGGTCAGGGGTTCTGCATCCTCCTAGAGCAGAAATACTCCTCCTCCTACAAGCTATAACCAGTGCTCTGCTGGACACTGATAGAAATCACAGGGCTGCTCTCTTTCTGCTGATGAGAAAAGTTATTGAGCAGTTTATATTTACTAAAATAATTGCATTTCCATGTTCTGTGTACTGTGGGAGACCAGATATAGTGAATTCAGGGCCCTGGGTTTAGTAACACTTTAATACCACTTTAAAGTGGATTTCCACTCAAAAACGAAAGCTCCGCTTATTTGCCTCCCCCCCCCCCCCCCCTCCACTGCCATGTTTGGCTCCTTTTGAAGGGGAGCGGATACCCGTTTTTGGAAGGTACCTGCTCCCACTTTCGGTTCAGTTCGCCGCTGCAAAGTGAGCCGGAAGGTCGTCCTCCGTCCTGCAGTCTCCTGGGAACTTTCACAGGTCCCAGAAGATTGTCGGACCAATTAGGAAGCGCAGTGTGACTCGCGCATGCACAGTGGACACCAATCTGTGAAGCCGCAAGCTGTCACAGCCTGGTCTCCACAGTAGAGATGCCGTGGAGGGGAGAAGGGACACCGCGGGTGACAACATCGCTGGACATTGGGACAGGTAAGTGTGTGTGTATATAAGAACTAAGCAGCTGCAGTTTTTGTAGCTGCTGACTTTTAATAAACACAAAAAATGGCTGGAACTTCGCGTTAAGTGCTATGTAGTTTTGTTTTGTTGAGGGTATTTGACCTGAATTTTCAAATTGTTGGCAATTATTGGAAAGTACATTTTTAATTAAAATAAATAATTCATGGATGTTTGCAGAGTTTCATTAGTGGCCATAACATTTCATAAGCCTATACCAGTTCCTCTTACCAGAGTTGAGTCATTTCTGTTCTGTAGATTGCTTATCTGTGTTTCAAACCCGTTTAACCTGCAGGAATTTCCATCTCGTTTTTCTCAAATGCTGATTTTGCGAACATCAATTTATCATCTCTTAGATTTTGGTACACTATTATCTAATGTATTTTACGTTGTAATTAAAAATCAGGGTGATGGATCATAATTGTATGGAAAATTTCCATCTATTATCTGAGCCGAAAACAGATTGCTTGGCAAAATGTATGTATTCTCCTCTTTATTCTAGAAGTATAACCGAAATCTACATATGGGTTATATTTAGAAACCCCCAGACTAGGTAGAATAGAAGAAGTAGAAAAATCAGAACCGTTTTAAAGAGTAACCGGATTTATTTATACCCCATTTAGCCTTTATTCCAACTTTTTTTTTTTTTTTTTTTTTCCTTTTGAGAGATTTGATGCTGTGAAAACATTGCACCAAGGAATTTCCGCAGCCTTGAGAACAGTTCAAATCATTTTTTTTTTTTCCTAGACCCTTTCTGCACAGATGGTGCATTCATGTGTTGGCAATGCTTGGCATAAGACTGAGACAAATCTATCCAATAGAAAACAAAGATAGAAAAATATTTCCACATTTTTTTTTCTCATCTAGCCTTCACTGTCCAAAAGCGAGCTTTGCTTTTAGGGCCTATTCACACCATGCATTGGCATGAAAGCAGACCTTCCAGGAAAGCCCCCCACCCCCAAAATCAAGTCACCTACAAAGGTTTCAAAATAAAGCTAATGTGAAACAAATATATATGTGCCTGATCTCCAGCTTTTGATGCTTCTATAGGGTGGTGTGATGTGATTTCAATATTCACATCACAGCCTTCTGGGAAATGTTCTGTAGCACTTTGCTGGATTTTTGGACCCCCAGCTTTCGAAGTATGCAGCAGCTAAGCATGGTGACGGCACTCAAGCCTCCCAAAAGCTGGAAGGTAAGAGTCCCCCCCCCCCCCCCCCCAACATCTTTTGTAGGTGATTTGACTTTGGGGGTGAGGGACTTTCAGTGGAGCAGACGTTCTGTTTTCTTGGAAGGTCAGCTTTAATGTAAAGCAGGGGTGTCCAAACTTTTTTCAAAGAGGGCCAGATTGGATGAAGTGAACATGGTGGAGGGCCGAACATTTTTCCGAACATTCTTTGAACCATTACAATTAAATGCAAATAAATTATTTTATGCCAAGTTAATTGCAAACGACATACTTTTCATTTCATAACATTAAGATCAACTGATAGCTGAGTTTTCACAATGTATTGAAAATAAATTTAAAAAAAACTTACCTGGACTAATGTGAAGGGTGAAAAAGGTAGCTGGAGCTGAAGTCTCTGCTTGGCAGCCGGGAGGGGAAGAGAAACACACTTCACGCTGGAAGCCCGGCCCTGACGTCACCGCCCTCTGTCGCTTCCAGTGCGGCGCTGTCATGCATGCGCACTGCTCTCAAGCAGAAGACTGTCTGCTACAGAAGGGAGGGCCGTACAACAGCCGCATTTACACAGACCAGGGAGAACGTGCCACAGTCAGGCATGCGCATTGCCATCTGCTCTCAAGCAGAAGACTGTCTGCTACAGAAGGGAGGGCCGTGCGACAGCCGCATTTACACAGACCAGGGAGAACGCGCCACAGTCAGGCATGCGCACTGCCCTCTGCTCTCAAGCAGAAGACTGTCTGCCATAGAAGGGAGGGCTGTGGGAGGGCCACATTACACAGAGCAGGGAGGGCTGTTGGAGGGCCGTATTAAACCGACCCCTGGGCCGTAAATGGCCCGCGGGCCGGACTTTGGACATGCCTGATGTAAAGCATTATCTGGTGTTAAGAGTTATGGCCAATTCACATCAGTGCAGTACAGTGCAGCTGTAAAACACAGATCAACGGAAGGACATCTGAAAAACAATTTGTAACGTGTCCTATTCACACCATATTGTTGCATTGCGTTGCTCTAAAATGCAAAATGTATGTCAACGGACGTCAAAATGTATGTCAACGGACGTCAAAATGTATGTCAACGGACATCAGCGTGCGGTAAGACACTACTGAAATGGATGGAAATGTACATGCATTTTATCACCAGTAAGTGTGAATTGGCCCTTACAGTGTTAAGGCAGTCTGTTTTTAATTGGCTGGCAGCACACTTCAACATATGAAGAAACTGACATGATTTTTTCCATTTCCAAACATTTTTGGACACAGTTTTGGACAGAATGCAGAGAACGCCTGTCAGTTTTTATTGCTGTCTGTGCCCCTGTTAGGGAGATCCACCCTATTTGTCTTGTTTACCATTATTGTTAAAAGTGAAACAAAAATTTTGGGTTGTCCCCAGAAAAGTAATAATGGGGGGGTCTTCCAATGGGGACTCTAGATCTGGTGTCCAGGGGCCCCCAAGGAATTCCATTAATTTGCATTGACTTCATGTTTGGCTATAAGACAGGAAGTGAAAGGAAATCTCAGCAACGGGACTCAGGTGGCGACAAAATTTTTTAAAGGGGTTATAACCCTCCCTTGCTCTATCCTAAATGAGAAAAAAGTTTTGCTTATAGTTCTGCACAGGGGTGGACTGACCATTTGGAAACTCGGGCACTGCCTGAGGGCCCGGGGTCAGTAGGGGGCCCCATGAGATGCCCCTGGTACCTTTTTCATAGGCTATTTTGAGTTTGGGCAAGGACACAGGAGCCTCATGATCCCCTATTACCCGGGGGCCCCATGAGTTGTCAGTCCGCCCCTGGTTCTGCATTAAATGCAGTATACCATAATGCATTATCCTGTATGTTTGTGGCAGTGAGGATGCATTGCCCATTACTGTAGTGGTGCGTTGGGGTGCTATTAAGGATTGATTAACGTGCTTAGTGGTAATGTACGCTAGAACACATCTTGCTTTAACTGTGAATAACCCTTTAGGTCTAGCCATCTCTCAGTCACTCCATGAGCTCTGCCGTTAGAGGTTCCAGGGACATCTGGTCATATAAAAGTATCCATAGCAGCATCTGGTCCAAGAAATTCCAGCTAAATGGCAGAAAGTGAAGTTCCCAGGAAGCTGTTATGTTAGATTCTGAGAATGTAACATTGTAAATTAAATTAGCAGCAGGACATCAAGAGAACTTTCCCCCTAATTCTACTGCCTTGTGCAAATGTTGTAAAGATTATTTTCTGTATGGATTGGTCACAGAGTAGTATCACTTTCAGTGTACAGCGCCATACGGCGTAGTGTACAGTACAGTAAAATGTAACATTTGGGAAATTGGCTGCCAATAAGGTGTTTTAAAACCACAGGAAAGCTCTGCTGTAGTCTTCACTTCGCAGTGCTCTCATGGATGGGCTGTCATTTGCAAGTTATAGAATTGGTGCTCAAGGAAGTTGCTCTTGGCAGGAGTCCTAAGCAGCATGTAATTGAGAACAGGCTTGAGTCGCAGAGGTGAGAGTATCAATGACTACAAAGATTTAGCCTGGGGATTTATTTGTGTTGTATACAATATCTTCTGTTTATTTCTTCTAAAGTAAACCACAACATACAACAAAGCTACAGTACTGCTTTTACCTAATTGGGCAGATTCATGTGACTAGGTACAGTAATAATTTGTAAAACCACATGTAATAATAACACAATATTTTTTTCACTATTGTGGTTGCAGAGATTCTATTTTTATTAAAATAAGCAGATGTTTTAAAGGCTAATTTGTCTTTATTGCATTTTAACATCAAATTTTACATAATGAAATACAAGAGATAGTGGTAACACATACAAGGAGGTAAATGTACAGAAATCTCGAACGGGAGAATGATCCAGAAAAGTTATATAAATTATGCTATATAGTGGAAAAATAACAGGACCAACCATAAAATAAGCAGATATTTTAAAGTGGTAGTAAACCGCAGGAAAAAGATACTAGCATCGCATGTAAAACTTGCATTAAAACGAAGCCCTCCAGCGGCGCACTATCACCGCTGCAGAGGCTTCCATCTTCACCTGGTCTTCCTGCTGGGTTCGCAAGCTCCAGCCGTCTGAAAGGCCGGGCCGCGATGATGTCACTCCTGGGCCACAACACACAGCTCTGAAGGAACGGCACGGGTATGCTGTTCCTTCACAGCCCATACGCCGGCTTAAAACAAAGAGAGAATATCTCCTAAATGGTGCATGTTTAGGAGATATTTGTTTCACTTACGGGCAAGCTTTATTATAAGCTTACCTGTAGGTAAAATGAAAAAAAATAAAATGAGTTTACTACCACTTTCAATGTAGATGCAAATTCTAAACATATGCATTCAAATTTTATATAATATATATATATATATATATATATATATATATATATCTATCTATCTATCTATATATATATATATATATATATATATATATATATATATATATATATATATATATATATATATCATTTTTTTAATCCTTTGTTACATTTCAGTACTTATGATTTTCTGCAGTCACATTCTGTTCACATGCACTACAGTGAATGGTATCTCTTGAGGCAGAATTCCTGGTGGTGACAACAATAGACCACATCTGCATAATGTGTGTTGAATGGCCACTTGTAGTCACCATCAGAAGTCTGTATGATGAAGTAGCGCAGTAGCGTAACTGGGAGAAAGGGGACAGTGTTGTCACCCCAAATCAGGTAGTGCCTAAACAACCAGAGAGGATCACTAGATATTATTTTATTGAAAGCTATGGATTTACAAATATTGAAACATATTGCAAATGTTAATTTTTAGATTTTAGTGATTGGGTCTACATAGTATGACAGATGTTTCAGTTGTATCTTGTGGATATGTTTCACTGAGTGGTTTAGGAAATTAAATGTATTGCACAAAATTACATTTGCAATGTATATGTATGCATTTGAACTGTTTGACACATGGTCGTCTGCATCTAGTGTAAGCAAGCCCTTAACTATATTTAACATGGCATTAGAAACTTGCATTGTGAACATGTCTGTGTATATATTATATTCTGTTTGTCATGCATGTCCAGTATTTTTTGATACATTGATTTTTATCTTTTATTTAGGCCATAATATTAAAGGGTGATTTTTAGATCTGCTTAACTCCACCTAGTCTTGTGTGTTACCAGCCTTGCTGAAATGAAGGAATAATAATACAATATTACAAAGGATGAAATGTTTACGTATCCTGGAGAAATGCTGCCCGATGATCCCTCTGATTCTGTTTGTATAACCAAAATCCCAGGCATTTGGTTGCTTTTATTTCTGTTGAAGAGACTGAGCAGCAGTCCGAATTCTGATCCTGCAATTTAGCAGAGATGCCCAACTGCCTAGGTGTTTTCTACCCAGTTATTAATAGTGTCATTATTGCAACAAAAATAAAACGGAAGATGACTTATCGTTTCCTCTCTGCTGTCCAAGCCTCCTATCTTCATTATCTTTATAAGCTATTGTGGCTGAAGAATATTCTGCATCTGACTCCTTTCTGGGAATGTCGGATGCTTTCTCCCCTGACTGCATTTTGTGGTACCATCTGCTGGCCCCTATATCATTACTGGACACAGGAATAAAATTAGTACTTTATTTTTCTTTTTTACATTTTTTGCCTCTGCCCCTTAGGAGGTAATACAGCCCCAAAACACACTAAATCGCATGTCATCACATAAGGGATAATAGTGCTTAACCATTTCAATACCGGGCAATTTTACACCTTCCTGCCCAGGCCATTTTTCAGGTTTCAGCGCTCTCACACTTTGAATGACAATTGCGCGGTCATACAACACTGTACCCAAACTAAAATTTTATCATTTTCTTCACACAACTAGAGCTTTCTTTTGGTGGTATTTAATCACCACTGGGGTTTTTATTTTTTGCTAAATTAACAAAAAAAGACCAAACATTTTGAAAAAAAAAAAAACACATTTTTCTTTGTTTCTGTTATAAAAGTTTACAAATAAATAATTGTTCTTCATAAACTTAGGCCGAGATGTATTCTGCTACATGTCTTTGGTGAAAATAACCCAAATTAGGATGTATTATTTAGTTTGTAGGAAAGTTATAGAGTTCACAAACTATGGTATAGATCTGAAAATTGATCAATCCTGAAGTACTGACAGCCAATCTAATTTCTTGAGGTCCAAGAATGTCAGAATAGTACAGATGTCCCCCAAATGACCCCTTTTTGCAGAGTAGACAGTCCGACGTACTTCATAAGAGGCATGGCGAGTTTTTTGAAGTTGTATTTTTTTTTTGTCATAATTTTTCGGAAAATGAAAAAATTAAAAAAATTATTTTCACTATTTTTTTTTTACATACTGTCACCAGTGCAGTACAGCGTCATCATTTAACTGGCATGGCGGTGAACAGGGACACTGACTGGTGACAGTATGAAAAAAAAAATATATATTTTTTTTCAATTTTTTTTAATTTTTTTATTTTTAATTTTTTATTACATTTTTTTTTAAAGATTTTTTTTTAAGATTAAGATATTTTACTATGACCAAAGTAGTGCAATGTTACCATAGTAACATTGTACTACTTTGGGGAAGTGATCAGTTTTTTTTTTTTTTTTTTTACAATTTGCTTATAGCAAAGAATTCCTTTGCTATAAGCAAGCATTTACCTGAATGACATCGATTCATTAAGCTTTTTTTTTTTTTTTTTTTTGTGCTTAGCTGTGATTTGGTCACAGCTAATCACATGACGTGCATGTGATTAGCTGTGACCATTCACAGCTAGGCACTAGTATACAATGGATGGCATGAATGAAGCCATCCATTGTATACAACTGTCATGTGACCTGCTGTGATTGGTCACAGCAGGTCACATGGTACCAGCAATGGGAGCCGGTACTCGGATCTGTCATCGGCCGTGTCCGAGGTGCACGGCCGGTGACAGATCGCGCTCCTGCGCCGCTCTGCATTAGCGCAAACTGCGCATGTGCGGGAGCACGCCGAATGGCGTGCACCCGGAATGCAGCAACACTTTTGAAGCCGCCAAACGGCCATTGGCCGGGCGGCTAATGGTTAAATGTGAATATGGCTCTGGAGTTCAACTGTTTTTTTATAATATAATAACTATTATTTTTTTTTAATTAACTTTTTTTTGTCTGTTTAAATCAACTTACTGTTGACTGATGCCTAGTACAGATGATGAGAGTATTGGACACATGGTCATCCGTATTGCACGTCCCTTCGGTTATTGTCGCATGAACTCTCGTGATCAGCTCTCGAACACTGTATACGAACAATCAGATTATTGTAAGATCGCTCCTCATACGAAAAATGTTGTATGATTTCTTATCCTGTGTATGAACTTTGGCTTACTACCTCAGCTGCAAGTCTGTTCCAAACATCAACTACCCTTTCAGTAAAATAATACTTTCTAAGATTAGTTTAGAAATCTCCTCCTGCTAATTTGAAGTCATGTCCCGGTGTTCTTGATCTTCGTTAAAGAACATCTATTGCCAGAAGACCAAAAAAAGAAGCCTGTTGAGTTGTCTTGGGGGGTCCCTAGACACGTAACACTTGTCCCCGTTAAATACCGAGCCATAGCAGTTAAATTAATCTTTTTTTTTTTTTCTGTCGTTGCTGGCTGTAGCTTTTCCCTTCCTGAAACCTAAAAGTTTGGGCATTCCCATGGGGACAGGGAGAGCTACATACAGTCACTACTGAGTACCACCCCCCTCTCCATTCTGCGGTGCCCTGTCTCCTCAACTCTCTTCTTTGTTTTACACTGCAGCCTGCTGTTCCGAGAAGAGCGTAGAATCTGTCCATTTCTGTTGTGAATGGTTGCAGCTGCAGAAAAGGGCTTTATTCACAAAAATACAAGCTGAC